ATGCACAGTGAAAGTTTGGAATCTCTGCTTGCTTCCTGCCATGAATGTTGCTCAGTTTTCATACCATCATCTTCCCTTCATTGGTTCTAGCTGGCAATATTCAATGCTTAGGATTTCCACAAATCATTCACTTCTTTTGTAGTTTTTGATTCAAGTATTTAAGTACAGCATTTTGTGCTTTCATGGACTTTGTTTTTAAAGTCCTATACCACACACTTCTGTTACAAGTCTCAAGTTCTTGTACTGAAAAGCCTGCATTTCACAGAAGATAGTTGAAACTCTATTTGTGTTGTCTAGCTTTTGGATTCATTATCAGTTCCCAAATTCTCTATAGGAATTGTTTCTGTTAAATTATTCATCATCCCAAGTTATCTTTTGATACACTGGGAAAACTTAGCCCTTTTTCTTTTTTGCCTTGAATACAATTTTTGTTTCATACAGAAGGAAATTTCTTAGAAATTTGTTTATTCTTTGGTTCCAAAACCTGTTCTTTGGGATTTTTGTTCCCATTTTGGTTTATCATCCTTTTCCAAATTTAATTTGGAACCAAACCAAAGCTGAGAACTGGCAATATTCAGCTATTGTGTTGCTGAAGATTGAAGCAGAGAATTAGACGAGTTGGATATTTAACAGCATGAATTTTTTAACAGGACCTTCAAAGAATTCTTGGGAGCCAATCATGACTGGGGACACAACAACCCCAAGTTACTGGCTTAACTGGAGGGTGTTGCTTTGTTCCATTTGGTTATTAATCTCGTTGGTTTTAGCATCAATTCTTATTTCCAAGTATGAATGTTTGCGCAATTCGAAAAGTAGAAGTAAGGAAAGACTCAAAGATTCAGCCGGAGTTTTGTATGAAGATGAAGTTTGGAGGCCCTGCCTCAGAAGCATACATCCTGCTTGGCTGCTGGGATACAGAATTGTTGCTTTTATTGTGCTAGTATTAATGCTGATCCTAAATGTTGCCGTTGATGGAGGAGGCATTTTTTTATACTATACACAGTAAGTTCCCTGAATTTCCTTTTCTGTTTCTTCTGAGCTATCTAAAATCAAGGTTCAGGCTTAGACAAATGCTTTGGTGGAGATATTAATTTTGGCACATAATGGAAAATCAGGGCAAATACCTCCTTTATGAATTGCAGATGTGTTATCCGCTGGATTTGCTACCTCCTACTCCCTTTTGTTGTGAACATTCGTTGGCATGGAAAATGCATCTAATTTTGCTATTGGGTGATTGGCAGGTGGACCTTTACATTGGTTACTTTCTATTTTGCGGTAAGTCAATGGAACCTCTGTTAGTAAGCATTTTTATCTTGTACCCTTTCTTATGAAAATTGATATGTTGTAGCTTGGATCTGTGCTCTCCATGTATGGATGTTACCAATATCACAATAGAATCGGTGCTCGATATGATGATGAGAGGGTTGATACTGAGCATGGTGCTGATGGAACCTCCAGAAATGCTGCAGAAAACTCAAATGTGTCCAATGGTGCAAAAGGCTTTGACCCTAGTGAGCAACTACATGATCGGAAGATTGCTAGTTTTTGGGGTTATGTGTTTCAGATCATTTTCCAGGTATGGACAGATGCAGCTAGTGATATTTCCTAAGAAGTGAGAGCAGTATTACGTTTTCAATTAAGATAATAAGCACATTCAAAAATTGTAAATCTTTGTTTAATTTTGTGTACCAAATTTTGACAAATAAGCTATTACTGTTTTCTAGATGAATGCTGGAGCTGTATTGCTGACGGATTGCGTGTTTTGGTTCATAATTGTACCGTTTCTTGCCATCAAAGATTACAGACTGAATTTTGTAAGTATCATAACAGCTTGAAGTTCTTTCAGTTTTCATTTGAATGAGATTGTAATAAGCATCATAATGCTCAGTGTTTACGCAACCTTACGCATGCTACCACATGGAAATGTTTTCGTATCAAAGTTTGATAAATCATACCAAATGATCCTTGACGAACTGTGTTTCAGCAGAAACCTTCTGGAACTTGAGAATTTTGCTTTATATGAGTGGACTTTTCTGCTCTCAGCTTAACTAGGATTTTGCTTTCTAAGACTATGGTATAAAGGGCAAACTCTGTGCATGTGCCTGGCTCTAACATCCATAGGTTCTAAGGAGCCAGCTTTTATGCAGCTTGTACCCTACGATATGCTCAAAATTACCCCAACTAGTATATGAAATTCATGCACTTATAAGTTTGTTACATAGACAAGGTGTCTGCAACAGTCTGCAATGGGAAAATCATCAAAGTTCCAATGTATGGTGTATCCAAGAAATTCTGTTCCTAGCTTCTCAAACTTACTTTTCTTTTTCTAACTGATTGTGGAACTTTCATTTTGCAGTTGATTATAAATATGCACTCAATCAATGCTGTTTTTCTGCTTGGTGAGACTGCATTAAACTGCTTGGTGAGGGCTATCTTGCTGCTTTAATATTCATTTCCTAGTTCTTATCATGAGTCGCGACTTACTCTATTCTGTTACTTCATTTTCAGCGGTTCCCTTGGTTCCGAATTGCATACTTTGTCCTATGGACAGTTGTTTATGTCATTTTTCAATGGATTGTTCATGCTTGTGTTTCACTTTGGTAAGCTAGTCTCTTTCTTCCATCTTCGTTTCATATAAACGCTTGTTCACGTTTCTGGTATCATAAATAACATAATTTCTGAAACAGGTGGCCCTATCCATTCCTTGATTTATCATCTCCATATGCTCCGCTGTGGTACGTATCCTCGCAAAACTCCTATATGAAGATTGAGATGGTCATTATAAGTTGGTCTAGAGGAGAGGTCTTTTCTTCAATTATTAGTCAAGAAAGAAAAAATTTGTATGTAGTGATCGATTTTTGAGTTTGATCCATAACTTGTCTTGGTATTCAGATATGTTTTACCTTCAATCTTTAAGATCCAATTAGAAGTACAAAGTTTTGGTCCTTTGTACTCTTTTAAAAGCCATCAGAATGAAGTAGGAAAGATTCACCTATATTTTCCTCTCCTTTTCTCTTTCAATGCCCTTTCCCTGGTTCTGGTGCTCTGATACAATGCAGAGCCTAGCTGTATGTTTTCAGATCGTTGTTCAGATGAGATACCTTTGAGGACTTGCATGATATTTCTTTAACTTTAATATTTCATGTTAATGACCAAGGATCAAGCAGTAGGTCTGAATTACCTGTGTATTGACAACGAAAATTATCATTTTTGATCACCTACATTCTGCTTCTTAGACTAACCAATGAGTTGTATGTCTCAAAATGGATATTTCAGGTACTCATCTGTGGCATTGCTGCACATACCATGTTATGGTCTTTTTGTTCTGGTAATTAAGCTGAAACACTTTCTTCTGTCAAAATGGTTCCCGCGGTCTTATCAATGTGCTCGGTAATGCGTGCTGAATCCAGTCTTGAAGCCAAACTCAGCTCCAGAAGGAAAAAGTTGGTTTTCTCCCTTGAACATACTTGCTAAACAGGAAATCAAGAATGCTATCCATGACAACCAAGGTTATTTTGAAGATCAGATTTTGAAGGTGTTACAGAAATACAGCATACTGTTACAGTAGGTGCAAGAGACCATAAGGGGGGGTGCTGCATTAAATTTTGGTTTGCAGCACACAAAATCTAGTAAAGCAAGTAGAGCAAAATCTTGTTCATGCAACCGTTTTCCAGTGCTAACAGACATGTAACTGTACACAGATGGTAGAGAAATACATAATAATTTCCATAAGTACAGATTGCCCTATTTTCAGATATAGTTTGTGTACTTTCTTGATGATCTTTGTCTCCTACAAGGTAATGCTGTTGATTATTAGGCAAGCCTGCAGAAACTGTCTTTAACTAAAATCTCATTTCTAAAACTCTAAAAGCATTATTCCAGATAGGACTGCAAATGAATTGAACCTCTCGCAAGAGGCTCGAGTCCGAGTTCGAGTTGACCAAATCGAACTCAAGTTCGAATTCGAGATAAAAAATACTAAGCTCGTTAGCTCGCGAGCCGACTCGAACTAGATTATATATATATAGATATATATATTTTTTATTTTAATAGTAAAATTACATATATATTTCTAATATTTTATTATTTATTAAGAAAAATTATTATTTTATTCATTTTTCAAAATAAAATTTTTATTTTTTTTATTTTTTTATTTTTTTAATCTCGAGCTCAAGCTCGTGTTTGATTCAAATTTATTTCGAGCTCGTAAAATTATATTAAAACTCAACTTGATTAGGTCGAAACTCGACTCGACTTGGTTCGCGTGCACCCCTTCCAGAGCACTATAACAACATAAATGAACAGCTAAGTCAGTTATGGGTAGCTTTAAGTAACAACAGAGTTCTCGGATCAGCTCGTGTCAGGATGCAAAACAGTTCAGCAATCATTAGAGTGAGCACCCAGAGTGATTGAAGAGGATAACAGCTCTTGCACCCAGAGTTTTTTTAGAAACATTATTGTACGTCATAATACTCGGCACAGTTCTTGCAGTATACACTCTGCAAAATTGACTCCAGAAGCGATAGGAAAAGCAAGCTCTCTTAGTTCAGCAGTCATCAAATGGCAGACAACTACAAAAATGCATCTCTAAACACAGATTGTGCAGAGACTTAGTCATCGGTGCTGCTTTGGCAACCATTAACAAATACTATTTTGGTAAACTGCATTTCCATAACTCTGATTAGAGCGAACACTAGGGACAGGAAACCAGGTCACGGCCTTGACAAGAATTTCACTTCATCATGTGGACTGTGGTTAATCCGTGCAGATATGTTTAAGCTGATCAATTACTTTTGCTGCTCAAGCTTCTTAGGATTCCAGAGTAAAATACAACTTACATCACTTCAGCTTAGAAATATCAGTCAGACTACTCCTCACCACAGATGGTTGCATGATATCAAGCTGAACTTCTCCTGGCAAGTTGGAAATTAATGTAATATGAAATTTGATTGAAAATTTCTGATAGGAGAAAGCAAAAGTTTCAGATCTTAATTACAAGGTCATATGGGGATTGCTATCAATCATAGAACAACAGATTCCAGAAGTTTTTTTTTTCTTTTTCCTTTTGTTTTCTGGAATTTATACATGGCAGTGTTGAATAAGTAGACTTTTTCTAACTAAAGGACTATAAATTTCTAACAGTGCTCTAGCTTTACATGATAATCGAAGTTACAACCAAAATAGAAGCAAAATTTTGAGGCTTGAGAGATATGTGGCTTCACTTCTATGGACAAAGTCAAGCATGAACTGAGATTGCAAATAAGAAAATATGAGATGCATCAAGTTTTGCAAAATTTCATCCCTTCTTTTTGTGTGGAGTACAGGAAAATTGAATCTTGAGGACAAGTCCTATGCTGCAATATATGACCATATACAAAACATGAATTACTCCTACTTCGAAAAGTTTTGCTCGATGGCTACTTCATTTCATGATGCATCTGCTCCCCAGGGGAGTCCTATTCCATTCCTTCTCTCTGCCATGCTTCCGTGCCAAAAATGAAAAACACTTATGTTTTCCAGCAGCATAGATTATAGTCATCTTTTCTTCTTACTCACTTTTCTTTGTGTACCAACTCAAGAAATCAGCATAGACTCTATAGTTTTCTTTGCTTCTTACTCACTAATTTTTGTGTACCAAGAATCAAGAAGATTTCGGTTGTATTAGTAAACTAGGGAAGTAATTTGATTGTACTTCTATCACTAAATTCAGTGCTCCCATATCTTGCTTCCTGATCGTTTAAAATCCTTTGTGAGGAGCTGCCGAAACCGGAGCGAGATGAGCCATGATGATCCATTTCATCATAGATGTCCTCCTGAACGTCAGTATACAAGGGATATGTTTCTTCAGAGATGAGTAGAACAATAATATATTAAAATAGTGGGGAAAAAAAACCAATCCTTACTTTCAGTAACTCCTCAATGACATCTTCCATGGTAATTATACCAACGACTTCCTCTTCTTGAGGGACTGTCAAAAGAGGGTTATCACTTATATTCAAGATCTCTGGGTGTGATTCTCCAGACCATCTCCTACTCCTTGAGTTTCTTCTTCTGGAAACATTGTCATTTCCAGGCAGAGTCTTCAGCATCCTCAGTGATCTTTTGAAGCTTCTTTCCCCCAGAAGGCTTTGACCATGAGCTTCCAACCTTATTTCTCTTTCTGAAGATGAAATCTCTTTCAATTCAAGATCTTTAAGAAAGAAGTGAATGCAGCTTCTAACATGCAGGTGGGACTAACCATTATCAGGGGGTCTAAAAGCCGGCTTCTCGAACTTCCCAGTTTGTGGTCTAGTGACTACAGCCATGTGGCTTAGCCCTCTCTGAAACTGATTCAATAATTCAACTAACAGCATTGTTTCTGGCACCCTAGCAGGTCAATGATTAAACTTTATCCCATAACGTGGCAAATACGCATGTAGTATGAATCATTAGTCAAAGAATATCATTGAAGAAGTTGATGGATGAAATTCAGATACACCATGACAGCACTCATCTAGATGATCAGCTCCAAATGTACGTTGAAATAACTACTTCATACAACTAAGTTATGCCAATGAGGGAAAGCAGTATGTATTCCTTCCCCTATTTGAATTTCGAATCTAACGTCTATGGAATTCAAATCTTTGTTATGTCTGTAGAAATCAGCACTGGAACCTAAAACATCTGTTCAAGGAACATAAATCCAAATTATATGAAATCCAAATGCAGTGTGTATGAAAATTTTCTGCTGTGCTTGGACAAATCATCAGTGCACAGTCATTCTGTGTGAGGATCAAACACAAGTACAGGAAGGAGAGGGTAGAAAAGCATTATAAGGACCATCAGAATATCAGATACAATGGATGATCAAATCAGACAATACAAGTTAGTAGCTTCCTTTTTATCTTATTATTATTATTTTTTTGCTGCATTTATTGGGCTCACAAATACAGTGTAAACAGAGTTTGAAGTTTCTCTTTTCAAAAATATATTACAAAAAATTTCTTTCTAATTCATTTAGTCGAACATTTTATGAGCTCAATTGAATGATGCAGATACCTTGGAATAGAGCGGATCGTGATGTTCTTTACTGTTACTTCCTCTGCTGGATTCATAGTAAGTAAGTTTTTCACCTGCAGTTTACATTTATCATATGAACAACAAGCACAAAAGAAAGATCTCCAGATTTGCACATTCTATAGTATTATCTTAACCTCGAGTAGAACATGATTAATGGATGACAGTGAGGAACTCTTGCTCATCAAACTAGAAAATGAGAAGCATCGGATTTGGAAATGTAAAATTTCAACTATATGTACTTTTTAGTATTGATATTTCAGGACCAAAATCGATGAAATTGGACACCAATAAAACTAGTTGACTTTCTCAAATACTACTTGTAATGGTTCAAAGACTCGGCGAGACTAAGACGAATCAGCCGAGTCGTCACCGGAAGGGCTTCCCGAACCGATACCGGGACGAGATGATTTTGAGATAATGAATCACCGAGAACTCGTCCGAGACATCTCCAAGACGAATAAAAAAGGCCAAGTCACCCCGATTCATCCCGAGCCATCTCAAATCAGTTCGAATATTTATTATTTTTGCTAATTTTTTAATTATTTTTTATCATTTTTTTTACAATTTTTAGGATATTAAATATTTCAAAAAATTGCATCTCGCCGAAACCGCGATCGATATGCCGAGACCGATGTGGAACGGTCCAGACCAATGTTGAACCATGCTTGTAACTTTCATCATTCAGGCATTGTTTTACAGAGTATTCCATGGTAAATATGAGGTGTATCAGTAAAAAGGAAAACAATTCTACAAGATTCCTGTTGCTAGAGTACCTGGAGTATTCAAAGGTCAGAATATCCAACATTCATCATTGTCAGTATCAAGGACAAGCTATTACAAAGAGTAGGAAACTACAAAGTCTAGCAGACACCCAAAGAAGAAGGAAAGAAGCAGAACTTGGGGAACATTACTATTTTACAATGACAAAGACAAAAAGGGAAACAAAAAACCAAAGAAGTTGCAGTAGCATATTACCAGAATAAGTCCTATGATATGGCTTGGATGGTCATGGTATACTGGCACCCTGCTATGTCCCTTTACAAGGATCAAGTTTAACAAATCCCTGCTTGCACAGTTAAAATGTTAAACATCTCTACTAAGGCTTTAAAAAAAATCTTTTTTTTTTAATACAGGTTGCAACTTATGAGTCGAAATATTGGTCCTACCTGTCAAGTTTTGCGTTGATGTCAATTGAAAAAATTTCAGATGCAGGTGTCATTGCATCTTGGGCTGTTTTTTCAGTGAGTTCAAGTGCGCCTTTGATAATTGATACCTCATGATGTGATAAGTCACCACCTTTCCCAGCCTATTTCATTCCGAAATGAGGAAACTTTCTTGAGCATGGTTTTGGATCCATACAATTTGGACGACAAAGCAGGAGACAAAAGGTGGTATCCACTCATGATTTCCTCTACATATGTAGATTACAGCATTGCCACAATATAAAACAAAAGAATCCTGTTGAATCAGGAATAAGCAGTACCTGATTTCCATGCAAGTCAACCAGTGTTTTCAACTCAGCCCGACGATACAGCGCAATACGCCCTCTTCCTAGCAGAAAGTCTAATAGCTGACACAGATATTTCACTATAAGTTGGTAGTCGAAAACTATATATCGAGGAGTAAATTTAACACTTCAGTTATGACTTAAATTAGGAGGTTCACTGGAAAGACACACATGAAATTAGGACAACTAGGGAACCTTGCTGATAGGATATGCAGCAGGAAAGCAAATCCAGACAAGTAAATGGACAGCAGGAGCCATAGCTGCACCGGCCACCAAACCATGCTTGGAACACACAGAATGTGGTATAATCTGCATATGAAATGTCCTTTTAAATCAGAACAATGAATGATATACTAATTTGTTATTAAGGATTTGCACTCCAAGTACTTTGTGTATTGGCCTCTTTTGGCCCTACCTTAGCTTTTATTCCCTTATCTTCACTGCAGGAGAGGGAGAAGAAGCAGAAGAAAGACAAAGGGTAATATATCAAACACCTATTAAAGTATTCTATCAAGTTCTGGAATACTAAATTTTTATCTTTCTGACAATTTATCAGGTTCAATATAAGTCGGTGCTATCCGGAATCCAGAGAGGAACTTACCTCACTAAAAATAAGTATTAGTGCTGAAGAAATAAGTATTGTAGCTGTTTCTGGGACCAAATGATGAAGCAAAATAGGAAGTGCCTGAAAAATTGAATTTAATCAACTTGCTTCAAGTCTTGGCACGTTGGGGGAAAAAAGAAGAAAAGAGTACAAATATGAGGCTATGTAGCTGCACCAATTTAGTGTGTGCATCCAATATATATTTATGCCATACCTCCACAGCAAAGGCTTTGCTGATTAAAAGTGTGCAGAGCAACAGATGGCGTCTCTTGACAAGAGACAATATCCTTCCTGTAAGAGTGTTTAGGCACCATGTATAAAACAAGCACTTCAATGATCAAGAAATGCCTAAGAAATTGTTAATAAGAAATTGCAATAATAAGCTTTTTAAACTCCTACTCAATCATAGAACTAAGGAGTTTATAAGCTAGATTTTTGCATCAGTTTATAAACTTTCCATTTGTCCCTCTGCACTATATACCTTCTTAGGCTGATGTGCTCAATAATTTTAGCCTCCTGAAGAGAAAAAATGAACGACTTTCATTTCTTTTTATCTTGCTAACTCCATGTGTGGAAAAATGGCTAAAAAAGACAAAAAGGAATGGAGCGTTTGTCGATTTTCCCTGTCTAGCACTTAATGCTGTGATGGCCTTTGTCAGTGTTTTTCAGCTAGATAATCAAACAATCAGCTGAACAATCAGAAGTTCAAAATTACGCATATATAGTCAGGTATTTCGGGTTACAAGTCAAACAGTAGTCATCAAAGAAATAAAAATTGGATTCGAAATCAATAATTCGACATGGTATTTGTGGAGCAGCAAACAAATTAAGGAAAAAGGACATCATCTACAAAGTGGATTTCGGTGGCAGAAACAAGAGGGGTCGAAATGAACATACTGGCGTAGAGACGACTCTTGGATACACCAGACTTCACAAGAACTTCAAGATCAACTAGATCCATAGACATGTACCCCAATGTAAGGCCATTCATCAATCCAGAAAACAACATTAAAATAATGACTACTAGAATCTGGAAAAAGAAATCTGAACCACAGCATTTGATATACTTCTTCACATGATGATTCTCTACATAGTTATCAAAGTTCATCTTTGCCTTTCTTGGCTTCCAACTTCTCATGTGCATTCCTCATGATCTTGTCCCTAATTATAGTACCAAGAAGAATCATTTATTTCTCAAGGCTAATGAGCATTTAGTATTTAGAACTTAGGTAATCAATTGGACAAAACTGCATTAATGGGGCGACAATTCCAAACCTTGTATAACTTAAAAGCAAAGTTCAACTTGACTGGCGTAAAAGCAGAATATTATGGAATAATCCCTTGTAACAAATGGCTGAAACCAATTATTTGAACTGAAAACAGTTGTACTTTTGATTGAGCTTTTTGTTTCTTGTGCCTGCTGCTATATACACTCAAAGCTGCTCATTGTTTGTTGAGTAAAGAGTTCAAATGATAGCAGCAGAATTGTATGCATTGCATTTGGATCATATCACTTCTATTCATTCACTCTGACCCTTTTTGCGTTTCTGTGAACAATCCAGAAATGATTTGAAAAGCTTCAAATTGCACGAGAGAACCAATTGGAGAATAAAACAAATGTTAGGGGCCATTAGTACAATGTTCTCCTGATCAACATGGCGATGCCCGTCAAATATTGTTGGACAGAATAATAAATTCAACGAATAATTAATTACAATTCGTTCATAGTTCTGTGCTTGGCAAACCATTTAAACAGGTTTTTTTAGAATTCTGCCAAATAAGTTAATGGGCTAAAGCGCTGAAACTGCAGTGAGCAAGTTTTAATCTTAGGCTGAGCTACCAAAGAAAGTTGAAATAGGCAAAAAAAGGTAATTGCTACCAAAGTTGAAACTGCAATAGCCAGAAGGATTAGTTGTCAAGCATGTTGCAAGATGACAATAACTATTACCTATGCACTTAATTGGATATTCCAATATCCAAAGTACATGTAACATCTACTTTTCATACAAAGACCTGCTGAATATTCTTCGGTCAACAAATGTTCAAAAGGAAGATTTCCAATTCATACTTCACATGGTTTACAAAATGTCATTTCTGAAAGTTACATATCAATCCACGAAAATTAGTAACCCTCTATCCCATAACAATATTACAATGCCTCATCTTTACTCTCTAGAAAAGAACATCAAAGTTGAAGATAAGACATTTTGCTGCAAATCCTATGTAAAGGAAAAAAAAAAAAGAATCATTATTGTTATTTAGTATAGCGTTCCAAAGAATACAAAGAGGCTCAAGAATAAGGATACAGAAAACGTGCAACAACATTTTGAGACCAAAGTCTGGCCAGGTCTGGCTAATATATATACAAAGGTACAAGAATACTCTAGGTGTAAGGGTTTTAGAGGTGATACCAAGAACGTCTAGAAATACAATGCAAGAATTCACAAAGAGGTGCTTGGCAATGAACCCATTAAGATGACAGTATTTTTGTCTTTAGGACCCTCTTTATGTCCCTGGGACATCTGTGGCGTTGCCTTCGAGAATAATCCAGAAAGAAATCCATCACTTGCATCTGCTGACTTTAAAGTGCGAAACATGTCACTGACAAAACCGCGCCTTATCCCAGCTGTGATTCCCTTGGCCTCCTCAGGCTTAAGACGTGCACCACAAGGACAAGTCTCTATTCTTCTGAAGCAATGGCTGTGGAAAACAGAGTCACAAGATCTGCATCTCTCAACCTCTCCACCCTGTATAACGAAATGTCAAAATTTACACATTAGCAAAGACATGCACACAAACAGATATACATATGTACACTTATTTGATTACATTCTTCAGATTTGTTAGAAGTGGGGCAAATCAAGATTGCTCAGCAACAAACTTGGCAGCACTGAGCTTTCATGAAGAAAAAGAATATTAACAGTCAAAAAAGATAATTATGTGACAAGCAATTTCATAGCAAGATCGGTCTTGGTATTCTCAAAACTGCCCTGAGAGAATTATGCAGATTCTGAGTTGGATTGTCGTCCGCTGCCTTAATCCCTCTAGATGAAGATCATGTCTTCGGTGTGGTGACAAGGGCCAGACAAAAGGAAGGTATCAACATAGATGCAGAAAAGCAAAATAAGACTATGCACATACCTGAAAAGGAAAAATGAGAGATGATGGATCATTACAAGCTTGCCGAGCATTACAAGGTATTCCCGAGTCACAGCAAATGAGGCATTGTTCTATGATGTGTTCCTGGATTTTTTTTGAAACTGTTTCTACAATCACTGGTAATGCTGTAAGAAGCACATCAAATATCATAAGAAACAAGAAACAATTAAATAGAGATAATCCATATACTACTACAAACAATAACATGGCTGACTATGAGCTAGTTCTTTATGACACACAACAATACCTAGGCAACTAGTTAGTTTGACCTAAACGATATTGCACACATGACAATCCCTTGGCCACAAGTGGGCTTCAACCAATTGATTCTCTGGGACAGTTTAACAAAACAATATCAAAGTACTGAAGGGATAACGAGATTCTAAATCCAAAATAGGGAAACAAAGGTAGCACAACTTAATTCAAGTCTGCAGCCTATGTAAAGCTGCATGGGATGAGGCAAGAGGAGCTGGAGAGAAAACATGGAAAACAACGGACTGAATCCTAATCAGTTGGAGCCATGTGATTGTCTGAGCACAATTTAGAGGGAGGCTATTATTCAGCAGAATGATACAGAGTTACTGAAAAGATATCACGACTTATGTATAATTTACCAAGACTGCATGCCTGACCCTACATATCTATTTAGAAATCAAAAGACATAACAAATTTGTCTTATAATGCTAACCTGCAAACATGCCCTTGGAGAGATCAATGAGATCTCTAAGTGCAAAGAAGTCATTACTTTCAAGAAGATATCTACGAGATCCAAGACCTTTATTAATGGACCCACGGAATGGGCACCGAACATATGGAAGCATAGCTCCTATCTTTTTTCTAACGTTTGTTACATGTTGCAAAGCAGGGACTCTCGAGAATAGGAACGGGTTAACTGCACTGACACAAAGCATTGGCTGCAAGGAGGAAAATAAGTATTAAGTGTGAATCCATTCTAATAAACATATCAAATATCAATATGGCAGTGGAAGCAAATTATTCATTTATTTCTAAAGCTCCTACACGCACCACAAGCACTAGCCTTAATTTCAACCTGGATCCTGATTCCTGAATGGTGTGAGATGCTACCACAAAAAATTGCAAAGTTCAAAACTTGTACTCAATCAAGCAAAGGGGAGCAATTCCCTCCTGCTAAGTTACACAAATTGTTATGATTGATTATTCACCAGAAATTTTCCTAACTGAAGACCAAAAATACAACTATTGATACAATCCTGCATCTATAGCTACAAAGAGTCTTTTTATTCTGATGTCTTCTGAAGCAAGAATTGCCCTTCTATTTTTCATCAAATAATTTCTTTCCATGTGTCAGAACTAGCAAACTAGTAGTCTGCTATCTAAACATATAGAAATCAAGGTGTGGCCCTTTTAGCAAATGTATGTCACAGAGAGAGAGAGAGAGAGAGAGGGAGGGAGGGAGGGAGGGAGGGAGACCCAGTGTTACATCAATAAAACAATCCAAACATTCTGTTTTATTCCAAACAAAAGAATTTGAAGATTTTCCAATTACCTTGTCAAGGATAGAATCCAGATAAGATTTTGCAAGCTGTGAAACTGGGTATTCAGCAAAGTCCCACAGATGCAGAACTCTGGCAGGCAAGACAGCCGTGTCATTACTATGGCATGATGAGCAGAATAACTGCCCACTGTACTCACAAAGTCGGGGTTTGCCCCATCCAAGCGTCTGTACAAGTTCCTTCATCCGATTTTTTCCCTCATCGAAATTCTTGTGGCAACCAGCACAGATATTATGTTGAGCATCTAGCATCTGTTTTACAGACTTGTGAGGCCAGACTTGAACTACAAGAGATATAGTGCTCCCCAGCATGGAAGCATTCTCTAAATCACTGCCTTTGGCAGGCAGTTGTGATTGTGATAAGGGTGTAGCATTTAAAGGAGAACTAGGAATGGCTTTTGATGGGTCTAAGAAGCGTATCAGAGGATTGAGAGTGCTGGAGGAAATATTGAAGTCGATAACAGATTGTAAACACTCCTGGATCAGAACACTTCTCTCAGCAATGACATCTGGAGAAGCATTACCAAAAATCTTTCTAGATTCTCGATCAACAGAGGACCAAGGAGGAGGAAGAATCAAGCCTTGATCAGCAAAGAGCTTCTTTAATTGGTGGTAGAGAGCATAGAAATCACGATATCGGCGCTCAACTTCCCAGGTTTCTTCTCCATTCCACGCTCTTATAATATAGACCGTGTATTTTTTCACACCAACCAATCTTTCACTAAATGAAACATCACCTTGCTTCTGCCGGGCACCTACAACCTCTAAACCATCAATCCTCAGAGGAAGATGAATCAGAGGGTAGGCATCATCTGTACCAGAAGTGGAAGCAGTAGAGCCACCATCTCTTGAGGGTACAGGTATCTGGGGTTGAAATGCAGTCCTACCCTGAGTTAATTGAGCACCATGAGACTTGCCTGTATCAAGTAATATTTCTTCCATATCATGAACCATCTCATCATAGAATTCTTTACAATTTCCTCTCTGCATCACATTAGAGAGAAGAAAAAAGAAATGAGTCATCTTGTACAAAGATAGGAAAGCCACTAAATCCCATCCCAAAAGAAGAAGATGACAATCTAGACTCTAGAATGAAATAGGCAGCCTGCACTAGCAGAAGAAAAGCAGATCTATACTCCAGATTCCAGCCCCCTTGAGAACACAACTACCAAGAGGAAAAAGATAATGCAAGTAAATCATCCAGATGTCTCATGCCTCTCAGAAACTCCAATTTGCATTTTGCAATTTTACAAAAGCTTAAGAAACCACTATGATCAAATAACAAGTTGTGCAATCTCAGCAACCAAATTAAATCTACATTAAGCATTGGCCTATAAACAACACATTTACAGTACATAGAGTAAATAGACAATACAGACCTAGCCACTTTACTCCTTGAACAGTTCACAAGAACG